CTGTGAGTAGCTTATTGATGGCGCCACTCCGCATCGTGACGCTTTGTGCCTTTCTCCCCCAGCCTCAGCAGGCGCCTCGCTTCTTTTGTGATCAAGACCCATGGTTGCTGTGAAAAATGCTGTTGATTTGATGCTGAAGGTTGTACAAAGAAATCCCTGTTTAGGTCCTGGTCTAGTTTTTTCTGAAAGATTAGAACTAGAAAAATCAATGTGATAGACATTTATTTCATTAGTAAGCCAACTATTTTGTCTTTAGGCAGCCAGAAGGTCAAGTGCAGCCTATACAAACACACACATCTGTGAACCCCTGTGCACACATGCTCACGCACTGTGGGGACCCACACTTAGATGCACACACATGCACACACACCGACACTGCTCAGCCGTTTTGTCTCAGGCATGCCAGGGGTGGGTCTGTTCCCCTGGGCTCTTCCCTCTGAGTGAAGAATTCTAATTCAGAAACTATCCCAGCTCTGGGGAAATAATCTTTAGATTAGTTTGTCTCCCAGCCAGGAACATGCTCAGTTTTTAAAAGCACCTTATTTCAAGAAATGTGGGAGAGCCCTAGGTATCCTGAAGCCCCAGGGAACTGCTGCTGTGGGATTCCAGAGCCTTCCTAGCTGACAAGGCAGCTCTCAGAGTTGTGTGTGTGTGTGTGTGTGTGTGTGTGTGTGTGTGTGTGTGTGTGTGTGTGTGACCCTCCTCAACTTCCTGCCTGCTAGCCGTGTCATCACAGGAAAATTACTTAGCTTCTCTGTGCCTCAGCTTCCTCATTTGAAGGTAGTTAGAGTATTTCCCTTGGAGGGTTGTTGTGAGGATGAATTCAGATTATGTGTGTACCTTGTTTACCAGAGCACCAGGCAGATACTAAATGCTCCATAAATGCTGCCACTGCTACTATTCCAGTTCCCACACCCACCTAATCCCTCAACTGTTGAGAAACACACACACACACACACACACACACACACACATACAGAGTGATGCGTGAAGAGGCAGTACTCCAAATCTGGCCTTCCATCTGGATGGCTCTTTTCCCCATGGTTTTGAAAGCACCTTGATACCCATTTTATCACTTTTGCCTCATAAAACTTCATGATGTAGGAGGTCTGGCATTATTCATTCTATTTTTTTAAAGGGAGGAAATACAGGTGCACAAAGATTACAAGACATGCCGGCAAAATTCACTGCAATGTACTTACACACACACGCACACACATGTGCACACATACATGTGCATACATGGACACGCCCAATAGCTTAGGAGGGTACATGAAAATGGTGCTTTGTAGTATGATTGTGAGCTGTCATTAAAAGTCACATTTACCAGCTTCCCAGGATGGGGGGGCGGGGCTTCAGCTGGGATGATAGGTGAACAGAGAAGGGTGCGAGCAGGATGCTCAGCAAGACTTGCGTACACAGCCCAAGGGGGAAACAGGCCAACATATTAACCTTGTTCCCCATGCGAGGTTATTGTTGTCTGATTTATTTTCCTTTATACTGTCCAGTGTTTTCCAAAATTTCCAAAATGGGACTGTATTGGTTTTATAATTAAATAAGAGAAATAAGCTACTGAGTCACAATTACTCCCCTGAGTGCTTGCAGCTCCTGGCGGCAGAGCCATGCCGAGTCTGTCAGCAATGAAAGGGGTTGTGACCATTCCCACCACGTCCTGGACACCGGGCCAGCCTTTGGCACCAACAACCCCCAAGGAAACAGATCAACTGTCCAAAACCAATAATTGCACTTTCAAAACCTCCCACCAAACTTGACCTGAAACTGACCCCCAATCTTTCATCCGAGAGAGAAGAAAAGGCATCCTAGCCCCTTTCAAGGTCAGAGTCAAAATCACATTCAGAATTTACTGAGCATCTACTGTGGTGCCCATTTCTTCATCTGCAGAGCAGGAAGGTGGTGGGGGATCTGCTGGTTCACGCAGGATCCAGAATCCATATAAAGACCCAGCTTGTTTCCCGCTGACTGAATAGTGGGGAGAATGTCCCTTCGGAGGTCCGCTCAGGTTATGGGCTTCTGTGAGGGCTTTGCTATGGGAAGGAAAACTAAGGGATGATTTCACAGTGGTTATTAGCTTTTCCGAGACTGAAGCCCTCAGGGAGACTGCCATGAGCCTTCCCTTCCTCCCAGGACTTTTGTGAGGATGCCTCAGACCCAGAGGGTCACACAGCTGCTCAGGGTAAAGTGGGAGTCACAGCTCCTGGCTCTCAGACCAGTGCTGTCTGTATTGACCAATGCAGAAATGAGCCAGCACTCATTCATTCATTCGTTCCTTTAACAAACTGCAACTGAGCACCTGCTAAGTAAGTACCAAGCCCTGTTCTAGAGAGCAGCACCAACAAAGCCTCTGTCCTCAGAAAGCTCACTTTCTGGTAGAGCAAGACAAGTGTCAAATGAGCCAATATTCAGGAAATGTCATTTCAGGCTGTTGAAACTGCTGTAAAGAAGTTAAAACAGGAATGTATTTGTAAGTAGCAGAATAATGGCCCTCAAAGATGCCCAAGTCCTAAACCACAGAGCCTTTGACTATGTAATATTAATTACACAGCAAAAGGGAATTAAAGTTGCAGGTTGAATTAAGGTCTCTAATCTACTGACTTTAAGCTAAGGAGAGTGTCTTGGAGCATCCAGGGGGCCCAATGTATACACAGGGTCCTCAAGACTTGTGAGGAGAGAGTTAGAAGATGTGAGGACAGAAGAAGTTCAGACAGAAGCAATTTTGTTGGCTTTGAAGATGAAAGAGGGACCATGAGCCAAGGAATGCGGAAGGCCTTAGGAAACTGAAAAAGGCAAGGAAGCATTCTCCCTCGAGCCTCCAGAAGGAACACAGTCTGACCATCACCCAGATTTTAGTCCCATGAGACCTGTGTCCGACCTCTGACCTACAGAACCATAAGATGACACACTTGCATTTTCTAAAACCACTATTTGTTACAGCACACACAGGAAACTAGCAAGACCCCAGTGTTCCCTCCTCAGAGAGGCTTCCCTGGCCATGTGCTACATCAGGGGTGTCCAACCTTTTTGTTGGTGTCTCTGGACCACATTGGAAGAAGAGTTGTCTTGAGCTACATGTTAAATACCTTGCAACATGTAATCACAAAAAAAAAAAAAATCTCATAATGTTTTAAGTAAATTTACAGTTTTGTATTGGGCCACATTCATAGCCGTCCTGAGCTGCATGTGGCCCATGGGCCACAGGTCGGACACCCCTGTATGAAGAAAACTGCTAATTGCTGTCACAGTTTTCTTCACAGAACTTATCAGGATTTTAATTGAATAGTTCAATTGTTACTTACTTTAAACAGTTAGGTTGTGTCATATCTGAATGATAAGAAGCACCAGCCTTGAGCAGAACTGCCCAGGCTGGCAAGAGAAGAGGAGAGAAAGGGCGAGGAGAGGGGAAGGAAGAGGAGGGGAGAGGACGGGGAGGTTGGTGGGAGCAGACATAAAACCAGGGCCAAAACCAATCAGGATGAAGAAAAGCATGGTTTGTCCCCTTCGGACATGTCCCCAGGGTCCACTTCCCATCCCCAGGGATCCGCTGGACAGCCAGAGCACAGGCCAGGGGGCCGCTTCAGTCCTCAGTAGCCTCATCTTCCCACCAGCTCCTGGGAACTCAGTTTTTATTTCTTTTCTTGTTTTTTTTAATCCTTACCCAAGAATATTTTTTCATTTCTTTTAGAGGGAGAGCAGGAGAGAGAGAGAAACATTGATCAGTTGCCTCCCATACGTGCCCAGACCAGGGATGGAACCCACAACTTAGGTTTGAGCCCTGACTGGGGATCGAACCCTCAACCTTTCAGTTTATAGGATGACATTCCAACCAACTGAGCCACCAGCCAGGGCTCATCTTTATTTTCTGAGCAGCTATTTGACCTCATGTCCCTGGATATTCTTTTCAAGCAGGCCATACATCCTTTCTGGAAGCAGTCAGGGTAGAAATCACCGAGTAATAGAAGCATCCCCAGCCAGAAAACAAGTGGGAAAGACCCACAGGAGCCCATCGGGAACTTGGTGCCTCCTGGGAAAGAACTCATCCTAAGGAGTGAAAGGTCTCAGGAATAGAATCATGAGTAGTGAGTGACAAACCTGGGATGTTGGGGGAATGGATCAACAGCAGACCCCCTAAATACACCTGGAGTCCTAGGGAAAGAGAGGCATAAAACACTGCATTCACTGTGGCACCAAAGTTCTACCACCAGTTGGCCCTTCTCTGCTCTTCTTCCCTCTCTCTCCAGCTGTAAATTCTGATTCCATGTGCCCCAAACCGAATCTTTTCCCCAGACCACTTTCTCTCCTTATTTTTCTCACTCCTGATCAACGCCACCCCCTTTCCCTCATCCAGGCTCACTATCTGCCATCACCTTGCACCCCTCCTTCTTTGCTGCCCTACTCCAACTCCCAGTCTGTGTCTTCGCCCCCTCCCTACTTCCTCCAGCAGCTGGCATGGCACCCTGACCCACGGCCTCAGAGCAGGTGAAGACACCTTCACTAACTCACTCAACCTCCAACTTTATCCTCCAGGGCCTGGAGAGGTTGTCAGCATGGGATTCATTTATCTGGGGGACAGTGTTTTGTTGTGTTTTGTTTTGTGTTCTCAGGCAGGGGCTGTTGTCTATCATTCCTGATTAAGTTGCTCAAATTCCCATCCAAACTTCCTCTGCCCAGGCCAGGAGAACTCTGAGGAAGGCACTCACAGCCTGGGCCAAAGCCAGGGCTCCAAGGGGCTCCTCACCCACACAAGGCTTCAGACTCATTTCCTGCCAGTGGACTTTAGAGTAACTTCCTCCTTCCTGGTGAGATTATTTAACAGGGCAGGGAGAGTTTATGTCAGGTCTGTCTGCAGGAGGGCAGAGCCCGGGCAGGGCCAGGAGGACTTGGTCACCCGAGGTGAACCATGAGACACTTCAATCTCCCTCCAGGCCTACTGCATCTACAGGACCTCTGGGGAGGCACCAGCCCTTCTGAGACCAGGAGACCAGACTCGCCTAACAGGGCGGTGGTTGGCTGGCTCAGGGATCCAAGACACCAGCTGGACCCTCTCACCTTCTCCACTGACGGAAGCCGGGAAGTAGGAGCCTTGAGCCCTCAGGTATGTTTCTACCAGAATTCAAAGAGCAATACCTCTGGGTCCACATTATTGAGAGAAAGGAAAATGAAAGTGGGGTGAATGGAAAATAAGGAGTGAAAGAGTCTGAGAGAGAAAAATGAAAGGAGAGGAAGAAAGAAACCGCATAATGAAAGAGATTTCTGAGCTGGGACTGTGGAAGGCAGATTATATCTGAAGAGCTGAGTCTGATCAGTTAATGATGGACTGGGATGAGGATTCTGAGGCAGGGTTCAGGCTCAGTGCAAAAGTAGCCATGACTGATTAGTTATGTCTGTCATGAGCACAAGAATGAGGTGGCATATGCACGCCAGGGATTTGATAACCCACATAGCAGGCTTTTTTCTTAACCACAGAGGCCTCTTTATCAATTCACTCATCTGTTCATTCAAAAAACACATTTGGCCATCAACTATGAGCCACACAAATATTTGAAGAATGAATGAAGAAGGAAGGGACACTGTTCTTTGGCCTCAACTCTCATTTTTCTCAGAAAATAAATGTTCTGAAAAGTTACAACAAAGGTTCATGGTCTTGAAAGATTTTCTAGCTATGCAATGTCAGACTAACCTCTTCCTTTGACTATGACTCAATTTTCTCATCTGTAAAATGGGAGTGATCATCTGGATATCCCCTATTAATCCCGGTAGTTCTCACTGTCTAACATCCAGAATAATAATCACTAAAACACAAACAATAGCACCTACTAAGTGCCAGATTCTAAGTTCTCTCTATATAAGTACATGTTTAATCTTCCTACCACCTCTAAGAGGAAGGCACCATTACCATTCCCATGTTGCAGGTGGGTAACCAAGACATAGGGAGATTAAACCATTTGCCGGGGCAGTGGGGCTGAGTATCTGTACTCCCTGTCACCATGCAGCACTGTCTCTATGATACAGTTGATTCTAAGCCCATGGCTGGAAGAGAGCTGGTGCAGCAGTACCTTTCCAGGAGATTCCTTCAATGAGCATTTGAGCCTGCAAGTCAGATAAACAAGGAGTCAATGTTTAACAAGACAGGATAGTAAAGCACATATGGTTCTAGCCAGAAAATAAGAGAAAAAGTCACACAGATAGTCATTTTGAAACAGTTTTGACATGTGCCATAAAGGGGATAGCCCAGGAATCAGGACAGACCGCTCTGAAATTAAATTTGCCGAGGAATGCTAGCAGCGGTAGGAGGGCAGGGTGGGTAAGCATTTGGTGCACAGCAGAATCTAAGAGAAGGGAGAGGGGGAGGAGGGGCAGTTCTCACAGAAAGAGAGCAGGAGCTGGTAGTGGGAGGCGAGGTAGCAAGGTGGTCACTCACAGCCAAGCACAGCTGTGGGGAGGAGTTGGGCTTTGCCCAGCGTTTACTCCAGTCTGTCCACCTGTCTGTCTGCTCTAGTGCATCCGCCTTCCCCCGAATCAGGCTGTCCACTGCCCACCTCAAGCCTCACCAAGCCAGCCCATAAGAGATGAGCTGGTCTCATTCAAGGAGGAGCAGCTGCCCCCTGGGTTCTCTCTTATGTTTATCCTTTACAGATCTCTTTCTGAACCCAACTCCATGTTTACACACAGGCCCAGCAACTGCACTCCAATAGGAATTTTGGTGCCTTCCAAGCCAAGGGGCTCTTCCTGGGGTGGGGTCACCTGAAGCCATAGTTTGCCAGCACGTTGCTCTGCGCAGCTCCTCCTGAGATGAGACCAACCCCTGTCTAATGTTGGCAGTCCTAGCATAGCGCAGCTCCCATTGGGCAGTGGCCAGCCTATGTGAGGGGTGGCAGTCCAGCCTAGCCTGGAGTCCCACAGGGCAGGCCCCCTGTCAGGTAGGCCTAGGCCATGAGGCCAACCCTGGAGCCAGAAATGGGCCCAGCCCTCCCCAACTGCATGATGGTATGAGGGCAATCATTAGAAGGGAGAATGGATGCTGCACAGATGACCAAAACATTGATGTCCACTGCACCCTGGCTCCAGTCATCCTATTTCATTTAACATGTTACTGAAGTAACGGATGGAAACACTGCTAAAGTCATTCTACTTGCGTGAGTCACTTTCTACATAGGCAAATCACTTGATCTCTCTAAGCTCCAATGTCCTCATGGCTAAAATGCAGTTAATAAAAAAATCTGCTTCACAAGATTGTTGGGAAAGTTAAATGAAAGGACATAGGGTCTAAAATGAGCAGATTAACAATAATAATTCTTATTAGAATAATTATTATGATTATTAGTAAGATTCTCTCTCCTTTAGAGATCTCCAGGTCCCACACCTCTACACAGAAGACTTATTTGCCAGTGCCTTCCCAAGATCCGGCTAATATCATTGTGAAGGCTGCCATCTTGGTTAATCAAACAGGCCAATCCCCAGCTGCCTCTTTCAGCAAGAAATAGAATTACCCACTGGGTTGGAAGTGAATTTCCTCATGCTTGACCTGCTAAAGTAATTCAGACTGGCCAACAGCAGGCTTTCCATGGTCAGGAGTGAACCCAGATGTTCTAGGTAGCCCCTCCCTGATCCAATTAGTCCTCTCTAGTGACTCATAGCCAGGCTCTCAGCAAAGTGGTACAAACTGACCTTTCAGGCTCATGTACCCGAAGATGCCCCGCAGCCTCAGATTATCCCATCTCCCCCAACACCGGTGGGGCTGCGTGTTTGACCAGACGACCTCCTCCTTCCTCCTGCTGCTCTGTCACAGCCTGGAGGAGCTCACTCCCGCTCTGAGCACACTTTTCTCTCATCCTGGAGGGATGGTTGCCTCCTTGGGAAGGAGGGTGGAGGGCACAGGGACATCCTCAACAAAGAGAACAAGGGGCCTGCTTGCTTCACAACTGTCAGGATCACTTCCTCTGTACCACATTCCTTAGGTGCATTCTCTCATTAAATCTTCACTAAATTAAAGATTCTGATGGCCATGTATACACAAGGAAACTGAGGCTAAGAAAGGATTATACCCACAGATCCATGGCAGAACCCAGAGAGGCCCCCACTCTTAACTGCCATGTTACACAGACTTGCAGTTCCCAAGCTAGACAAGGCCTCTGCAGACTTGAAGGTGCAAATGCAGCTATAGCTGCTTTTACTGGAGGCCTCCTGGGTACCAGACACTGAGCAAAACATCTTCAGGTGATAATCTAGTCAAGTTAATGGGGAGGAAAGTCCCCCTGAAAACCCACATGAGGACAGAGAGCCTGCAGCTGAGGCCTGCAAAGCAAGCAGGGGGCCGGTGGATCCTCCCTGTGAGGAGGGCACTGCTGGCAGGGAGGGAAGAGGGACAGAATGTCTGGAACTCTCTCTAATCCCCTGTGGCTTTCCCTCTCCAGCTCTGAGGCCAACCTCACCCAAGGAGGCTGAAGCCCAGAAGAGAGAATAGCTGGGCTCTTGTCCACCCTGAACTAAGAGGGACCACCCCCAGAGCTAGGGTCCGCAAACTACGGCCCACGGCAAACCCGGCCCACCATCTGTTTTGACAAAGGGTTATTAGAACGCAGCCACATTCATTCATTTGTGTACTGTCCACAGTTGCTTTCCTGCTACAGTGGCAGAGCTGAGTAGTCATGACTGAGAACATACTGCCCAAAAAGGCCAAAATATCTCCTCCCTGGTCCTTTACAGAAAATGTTTGAGCCCTGGTCTAGAGCCGTAGAACAGAGTGGTTAAGAATGTAGGCTCCTACCCTGGCCAGGTGGCTCAGTTGATTGGAGTTTCGTCCTGTACACCAAAACTTTGTGGGTTTAATCCCCAGTAAGGGCACATACCTAGGTTTCAGATTCAATCCCCTGTTGTAGTATGTATGGGAGGCAACCAATTGATGTTTCTCTCTCCTACCTCCCTCACTCTCTCCCCCCACCCATTCCTCTCTCTCTAAAATCAGTAAACATATCCTCAGGTGAGTGTCTGGGTTTGTCTCTAAGAACCTTTCTTCATCTGACTCCTACCACCTGTGAGACCTGACTTCCCTGTGCCTCAGTTTCCCCAAACTTCACTGAGCTGTTTTAGGAGTTAGTTAAAATAAGGCAGGGTCTCACAGCAGTGCCTGCCTATGGTCTTATTCCGGGAAGCATTTCAGGAACATGCAGGTATGAGCTCTGGGAACACTGCTCCTCTTCCTATCTTCCTGCATCTCTTCCTGCATGGCCAATAATTCTACCACTGGCCAGAGATAGAGAAAACCATTAAAACCAATAAATAAAATTAAAACAGGGCATAATGGAAATAAGAGGCTTATTTCCTTGTGAAATAAATGTCAGTAGGACAAATTGTTGGAGCCACCAGCCTTATTGTTTATAGATTTATTCACTGTTTATCTCCCTCTGTATTGGTGACATGGTCAATAATTGCCTATAAATAGTGGGAGTTTACAAGAAGGACCATTTAGAGAATGAGAGGCACCCTCTGGTTACTTTGACTACCGCACGCAGGCCGAGGACATGATGGTGAGAAACTCAGGGCAAGAGAAAATTGGGTCTGGACAGGGTTACACACGTTGTCATGTTCTAGGCTGGACTCAGCAACCCCTGGCTCACAGGAGTGTGTATGAGCACCCGTGCATGCTCTCATGTGCACATGTCTGTCATTTACCGTCTCTTACGGTCTCTTGTTCTTTTTTGTTCTGTTCCTGTCTCTCTACCTCATCCTTAGTTCTTTCTTACTGAGTTGGTCTCCCTCGGACTCTGGAGCTCCCTCTGTAGTTTCACCTCCCACACCCACACATGCAGGATTGTCCCTTGCAATGACTCCCTGCCCACATATGGTGGAGCAAAAAGAAGCCAATAGAAAAATAGATAGCCCCCCACTCCCCACCGTTGGTGACAACATTTAAACCAGAGAATTTCCAGGGATGTTGAGGAAAATGACCCAAAGCTGAATTTCCAAAGGAGACTAGTTAGATTCTAAAGTTTGAGCAGATCCTCTGGACAGAGTTCATCTTTGGAAAAAAATGTTGGGCATGAGGGAAAAAGGAAGTCCCTATTTAGATGGAAGGAGACATTCGGCTCTCATTTT